CCCCCTAGTCTCTCACCTGGCAGCCGGCTTTCTCCAGCATCTGGGCGTACCTCACGGTCTTTTCAATTTCTGGGAAGACACGGATTTTGCAGGTGACGGGAACAGAGAGCTTCTCGTGGGCCAGCAGAACTGGGGACAAGGAGCGGCATCTCTGAGGGGTGGCGGGGGAGCGTAGCGTCCGGCAGGGCCTTTCCCCTTGCCTCACGAGTCTGAGACCAGCGGGGCTGGCTCCAGCCTCCCCCAGTGGCAGCTGGCCGTCTGGCTCTGCCCCCTGGGACGTGGGCAGGCCAGGGCTGAGCTCGGGGCACTGCCCACTGGCACCTACTGCCTGGTCCTAAGGGAGCAGCTAGTGCCGGCTGTGACCTCTTCCACGGCCCCCTCCTCTAGGAAGAGATGCTCGGTCACAAGGCCCCAGGTGTCCCGGGACTCTGCAGCCCCGCTCCTCTGCGGAGCCCCCCACCTACGACGTGGCCCAGCCCTTCCTGCCAGTGCAGCCACACGCAGCAACTCACTCATTCTCTGCAGCAGGTCCCACTCCTCCTGCAAGAAGGCGCCGTAACGACCTGTGGAGGGCAAGCAGTCCCCCGGCTGAGGCTCACGGTGGGCGGGCTGAGGCCACCCCAGCCCCACTGTCCCTCCTGGCCTTTCGCAGACCCGGAGCCCCCGCCCCCAGCTCTGCTCAGTCCCATCAGGGGGACAGGCTGTGGGGCAGGGCTGGCTGGTGCCATGCCTTCTACGTGACGCCCTTGGGAGGGGTCACTGGGTCTCGTGGCACGAGATGGGACCCGGTGCCCCACAAGGTCAAATGTTCAGAGACTAGCTGAGCGGCACCAACCTGGCCACGACCAGTGTGCGGCACTGCCAGGGGGCGCCGTCTGGGCTCCCAGCGCTGCACTCACCCCTCTTGGCTATCATCTGAGGGCAGCCCAGGTTCAGGTCGATGGCATCGCAGTAGTCCTGAGCCAGGAGAGCCGCCTGCACAAACACTTCTGGGTCGTTGGCACAGAACTGCAACAGATGGGCAAGCAGCAAGGTGGTGGTGTGTCCTGGGGCGGCTCCCAGGGGAGGAAACAGCCTCTGTTGGCTCCAGGTGCACCTGGCGGCTACATGCTTCCCCACAGGCCATCCCCGCCGCAGCCCGGCCCCGCCCTGCTTCCCCCGAACCTGCTGCTGGGAAGGCTGGGGGTCCCATTCCGAGGGACGGTCTCCTGGGCCCACCTGCACGATGAGGGGCCGGTCCTCGGGGCACACCTCGCAGTACAGGTTCTCCTTCCGGTAGTTGGCGTCGCGCACGAAGACCTGGGCGTGCAGCATGGGTGTATAGCAGAGTTGTGCCCCGTGGCGGCGGCTCAGCAGCCTCCAGGCCAGCTCGCTCTGGTCCACCATGGGCGCCACCACGTGGCGGGCCCCCCCCAGGGTGCGGCTCCAGAACTCGAAGCCCTGTAGCTTGGGCATTGTCTCCACCCTGCAGGAGGGGCGGGAGCAGACACTCAGCCCACAGACAGCCCAGGGTATGAGAGGAAGGGGGTGCAGACTGGGGACCGGGGGCTCAGCCACACCCCCCGAGAGCCTGGCGCAGGCCGGACCAAACGGGGAGGGTAAGATTAAACTCAGAGGATGCAATGGCTCTTTTTAAGGTCACTCCAATGCCCACTGGCAGAATTACTGCTGGGATACAAGGTGGACAGTATCAGTAGGCATGGGCCTGAGAGCTGAAACCCCAGTGCCGTCACATCCCAACGGGGGCCTCAGGCAAGTCACTTGACGCTTTGGGCCGAGCCCCTCATGTGTTAGCAATGGAACCCATCTGCCTGGCAGGACTGAAGTAAGAGTTAAAAAAGCAGCGACTGCGTGGTGTGGCCCAGCACAGAGCTGAAACAACAAAGGGGAGCCACGCCCCAGAAGACCCTCAGGACCTCCACCACGCAGGACCGCCCCGGGGTGATGTCACCTGGCGTCTGCGGCTTGGTCTGCGCTCCCTGCCCGAGCTGACCGGACAGGTCGCCTGGCTACTCCACGTCCTTCTCTGGGGCGTCTAGAGATCACGCACGGAAGGGGTGC